CTCTTTTAGTTTTAGGACTTACAAACAACCGTTATGTGAACAAAACTATAATACTCTCTTTAGCAACATTTTTGCGGGAGTATAAAAAAAAACAATTTCCGAGAATGCTCTTAACATTCTTGCGACAGAAACATCGTAGTTGTTAGAACGATGCTTTCCCAACAAGCCTTCTATTACTTCTTTGATTGCCTGCCATGCATTCAATATATATCAATCAAAATATTGTTGAATGCGTCACTTTTAATCAGCTTTCGTATATCTGGAGCATTTAGTACGCCTGATTGGAAAAAATTAATTTGTTAAGATGGACAACCATGGGAAATAAGGAAAAAATTTAAAAGGTCATAAAAAAAAAAAACTGACACATACGAACGCCAATCCCTAGTACCATCACCCTGACTTGGAATTTCTCACCCTCCAGATTAGCTGTTGTACTGTCTTATTACTTTAAAGGGACAGCTTTTACGTTCTTTGTTTGAAGTGGTCGTTAGGACAGCCCCATTTCACGTGACTTACTATAGGTGACGGTATCCAATTGATATTGCAAAGGGCCGGCCGACAGATTTTTACAACGTGGCACAAGCTTTTAGCAGAAAAATTGCTCATAACAATATGCMACTGACAATTTTAAATTTTATTTGTTCTAACAATTAACTACGGCAATTCAGTTCTTACTAACACTACCTGTGTCCATAGCTAGTGGAGAGCGCAAGCTGTAAATTCTCTCGGGCCGCCCCTGACATCGCAGATACGACTGTACTTTGGATAGCAATGAGGTACAATGTCAAAAGCCAGCTGCAATGCACTTGCATGATTCATGCTGGACAAGACGCATCATTTACGTTTATGATGGCTGGATATTACCCTTAGCTATATAACTCTTCAAGTTAGTCATTTTTACAAATAGTTATTATAATAGCCGTGTTATGATTGTTTGAGGATAGTTGCACACTGATGACATAGTACATCAAATATGTAAATAATCATTAATGGAGTTCCATTCAAGTACAATAGGGCTTAAAATGTTTTGCTCAACCTATTTTATAATTGAGATAATGCTCGTATTCGGCAATTATTAAACATAGGTATATTGCATATTGAGCAAAATCAATTATAAATAAAGTCTCTAGTAAATCTGTTCTATTTTTCACTAAACAGGTGAAGCAGATCCTGAGAAAACCGATATCCTGGTTACGAATGCGAGATGGACACATTTTAACAGTTGATMAGACGACTTTCATAGCTGACCAAAGATTCCAGCCAATTTTCGCACCGAAACCTGATCGTTGGTCGCTACAAATTAAATATGTTCAACTTAAAGACGAAGGTACCTATGAATGTCAGGTATCTACGGAGCCAAAGTYGAGTGCCATCGTCACATTGCGGGTAGTTGGTAAGACGTGCTGAACAATWATATGTGTCCTTATGGTATCTGATGCTGTTTTAATACAGTGAATATATTATTAAGACTGCCGGTACAAGAATCCAAAAAATTGAACTTGACGGTTTATTCGAATCGATTAGTATAATATTTCTACAAAAATTACTTGTTCTTGTAGATTGTAGATATTTTATTTTGCTTGAAGTAATAAAATATTTAAATGATTCTCACACRAATTTTGACCTCATGCTTAGGATTTGAAAACATATTGTTTGTTTATGAACTGTCGTAACTTTTAATACAAAAAAATTAAACTATCCTATCTTTCAAGTTATGTCAAATTGAACATAGTGTGCTAAATTGTACTAAAATCGATTAAATAGTTTAGTTAGTAAATTAGGAGTTTACGCCGAACAAAGTGTGGCACGCAATTTTTATATAATTTATCTATGATTGCAATCCATAATTGCAATTCGCACACCTATATATGTGCATATATATATTACTTATTCTTAATAATATGAGAATTTAAATTGATCCAATTTTCATTATCTTAATTTCCTACATTGAATTTTGGATAAAAATATCGAAAAATTGCTAACATGCCCTCAAAACCATTCAAACACGTATGAACTCATAACTGCGGCATGCATTATCCGACTTTTATGGTTGTTTGAGCATTAATGTCACCTACACCGATGTGATTCCTCCAACGCGGCTCTTTCATTTCATTGTGATGACCGCTGCACACTGTCGCCATCGCTTGTTCATTGGTGCAGAACCGAAAACGGAATTAATTGGTGAACCCACACAACACGTCAAGGCTGGTAGTCAAGTGAAGCTGCGTTGCATAATTAGCCAGGCATTGGACCCGCCAGTTTTTATTAATTGGTTCCACAATCATAAGCAGATTTATTTGCATAGCCGAAGGGCTTGGCGCACGGAAATCGAACACATCGAATGGCCTATTCACGATTTCTCAACGACAGCAACAACATCAACAGCCCAAGGCGATAGTGCAACAACAACTACTCCGCCAATAGATGCTGCTGCAGACTCATCAGCAAMGTCGAAAGCRTCAGTCATGCTCTTGGCTACCAACTTTGGAAATGAAGAAAACAGTGCACAAACGACAGTCAGGGACGTAGAATTGACAACAGGAACGCCCTCGACCACTTTACCAATTTCTCGATTAGGTACAGACGTCCCGACGGACTTAGCGGACAGCGACGGCGGCTTTGATTTTGGCACAGATAACTCCCCTTTCTCCCTCCTCCCCACCGAAGCGGCGGCAATGGACACCGTGTCCGCAGTAGTGCCAACCAAAGTAAAAACGACTCATTTTCCGACAACTACATTAACAATAACCACAACGATTACAATGTTGGCAGCAGTGAAAGTACGAGAAGTAACGGTGAGTAGCTTTATATTTATACAGTATTTACTAAGGTTTATGTATAAAAAAGACGAAACCCGTCCCTTTTTTGAAAATAACATTACTTGTGCTCTAAACACTTTTACAATCCGGACTAATGAACTGCCTACGATGCAAATTTGTAGCAAATTTTCCCACACCTCACATCAGCAACATTTCCCACATTCCGACGAAAAATGTATATCCTACAATTTTAATTACAGGCTGCATCTTTAATAATACCATCCGTGGAGAAAAAGGATTCTGGCAATTACACTTGCAGCCCRTCTAACAGTGCTCCCAAAACACTTGTCCTTCACGTGCTGAATGGTATACTTTCTCATATTAACATATTTATRGATTTACTTTTCTATTTCGAAATTAATTGTGCTCGTATGGAATACTAGATTAAGATGTAAAACTATTCAACTAAAAGCATTACCTATCCATGCTGTTATTTGAATAAGAAATTTTGCCAAACACATGCTTAAAGAATGTGAAATTACCACGTGCGGCAAAATAATAAATATGGTTTAAAAAACTAACAAAYGTGCACATTTAATATACTATACATTAAACTAAAGAGTGAAAATAATTATTTATATATTTAAACCCAAAAATACTTGCATTATTGTAATTACTGTCAATTTATATAATATTAAGAATGACTTTACACYTTTTGGTTTCAAGTGCCTTAAAAGCGTATATTTTATTAGTATTTTAATGATTGTATTCCTTCAATAAATTTAAGTATTATATTTATTAAGTATGCGATCACAAGTGCGCAAAAATTTTCATGTGACTAACAGTAACACCGCCAACAACTATAACAGCATATCAAACCCACTGCCCTTGCAATCTGCCATATTAATATGTAGGCGCATTTGTTCAATTAATAATGCGTTCTCTGACAGGAAGCGAAAAATTAAATAAAACTGTTTTACCACATTAAATAAATAATTTAAATGGGGCGAGTGCCCCATGAGATTGATAGTTTCTGATCAAATTGAATAAATGGCGTAACTTCATAAAAATGCATTTTTTTTTTATATATTTTTTGTGTTTATAGTTTTATTTTTATGAATGAAAGGATAGTACTGTATGCGATTATGCGTCGTAAAACAGTGGCTGCATAAATTTTGACTGCGTATAGAAACTTGTTTGACATTGCTCATACGCCCCGGTAAACGCTTTTATTCATCGCATTAATATATTCGAATAGATACATAGCCAGTTCTGTGTACTGTTACACAAGAAATGCAAATTTCCAATGTTCATATATGTACATGTGTGTGCGTGTGCAATTCTCCCAAGACATATAGAAATATGTCGCACCACAGGGTTCATTATAACTTGAAAGAGTATATACATATGTATGAATGCATTTACTCAAATTTAAAGCCAAATTAAAGACCACATAGCTGAATGCAAATATTTAAGCGGTGAGTGAGCTTCAGCACTCGCAATTATTGAGAGAATAGTCAATCCCAAAATATTATCTCATTTACTTAATAATATTTAAAGATTCTGAAAATAGTTATTGGTCAACTTTAAACGCTGTATACTTTCTATACATTACATACCGAAACATCTGAAACAACTAAAATACTGTGCCGTAGTATTAAAAAACATCAATTCTATTAAATTGTCATATTTAATTTTCTAAATCGCATTTTTCTACTTCAATCTTCTCACTTACAGGCGAGTACTCGGCATCGGCGATAACGTCTGGTGTTAATGATAGAATTATTATTACAAACCAATATAAGTGGCGAGAAACACTCTTAGCTCTGATAATTTGGCAGTGGCACCAAAAATTCACAGCATTTTTACGCAATTGCGAATACTTTTATCGGACAGAATGATGGATACACGTACACTCCACTAACCCCTGTTGAATAACAAAGMCAGAGTATAAGATTTAATCGAATTAAGGGATATTCACAGAGAATAATATCAATGAGGCAAATAGCATACAATATGCATTTTGGTAATAACTAGTAACCTCATCGTTTAATTAATAYGTAAAGGGAATTGATTTTCGCTTCTGAAGACATTGAATAATAATAATAATAAAAGGAAAATAAAATAGAAAGGAAAAAAAAATTGATCTTATAAACATATCTAATATAAATCAGTAACGGCACTCAAATGTCTTCCACCTTGGAAAGAAATTGTATCTAATCGCTTTTTTCCAATTTGTAAACATGATTTATGGTTTCTATTTTATATTGTAGAGCTTCGACTGATTGTAAATATAGAAAATTGTATATAAAACATTGTCAAGTAAAATAAGTTTAGACTGAAATTTTAAATAATATTTTATTACAATTTATAATGCAATGCGATTTCAAGATTATTTTCTCAAATGAGAAAAATTAATCGTTAAAATAATGATATTTATAGAACATTCACCATATTTGTCAAGCAGGGAGAAAAAACTTACATTTCTAAGTATACGATCATAATTAAAAATGGTTAAAAGCAGGAGAGGTATGTTTGTTATCCACAGTCACACTGCCAATAATGTGTTTATGCCACATTTTATTAAGAGAAAGCTATAAATAAAAATTAGAAAGCAGATAAATTGAGACGGACATGTGTCAATGCCACTTAAAATTTGTTTAATAAAATCTAGCTGTTAAAATAAAGAGTATTCCTAAAAAAGCGTAGGAGACGTACAGTATAGTAAGTATACCCACGGCCTAGTTGAAATCGTTATCAATATAACATAACCAAACGCAATGTTTGGCACTCAATGAATAATTCAAAYTGAAAGGACACTGAGAGCAGAAGAAGAAATTTTTTTTCGCAAATCAATGCTACAATCTAAAGTAATAATGTTCAGATCGGAGCATTATAGTGTATATATCATTAAAACTGGCCGATCATAATAAAAATACTCTCTCATTCTCAAGCAACCTTAATTTGAGTTGAAAGTTGTTGGTATAAAATAAAAAGGTTGTACTATCAGAACGYTTACCGCTGGATGCAATCCTTAGTCTGGTTAAGTTTCGAGATTTAGTTATTCAATTAGTTACTATAATAAATGATCACATTGACTAGACGTTTGAAATCCCAACTAAAATGTGAGAATCTAGCTTAATCTTGATTCTTGGCACCCAATTGTAGATGGGTGGGATCTAATCACTGCCACGCTCACAAAATACCGTTAAGGGAAACTAGTGTTATAATTAATATGCAAAACTGTAACTTTGCACAGAGCATCCAAATATAAATACATGTGGGTTAAGAATTTTTGAATAGTGGGTGTGGTACTGCCCCTAATAAGTTTAATGTGCATATCAAATATATCGTCACCTAAAGTACGAAATAACGTAAGAACATTTTCGAAAATTTATAGTGGCATGAATGAAAGACGCAATAAAATGGAACAAGAGTGGAAAAAAAATTTTAATATTGGTTAAAAGTGGTTTATATTTGAGCGCAGAACCTGAAAATGTTGGACAAATGTCATATTATGAAGGTAATTTGAAGTAGTGAATCGTAAACATTAAGATACTCAATTTCGAATTTTTTGATGATACGATTTTGCATTTGAACAGCCCTCAAACTGAGGTACTAACCGATAAGATAGAATGAGAGAGGGCCGCAGGCGGGCATTAAAGCGAGCGAAGATCAAGCTGAGGGAGCATATTTTAAATATTTAAGACATCTAAACCTATCAGATCTGGACGGCCTAATTGTCAAGCAGAATTATCAAGCAAAAAGTTGGATATTATCATCAAAAACTAATTTTTTATGGACAAAATGTTCAAATTCAAAAATTTTGAACACGGAGTAAATAAAGAAATATCCCATTTCAACACTCTCACCTAGGAGAAAGAATCATTTGACGATTTTCTCCTCAAAAACCGGCGACTTGRGACCCAACCTTCTAAATTTCTAGCCAAATTTGAAATATCTTTAATAAAAATATGCCCCACGCGATTTTGCAAATTTATGAATTTTTATTTTTTCTCTACAACCAGTGGCTTAAAATTATAAGCACATTCGTATTCGGCTGCTTGCTACATGCTTCTGGTCGCTTGGTAGAAATATGAGATTTTGGAAACAAATTGAATGCAGTTTTGCTGCAGCGACGGCGGATGCAATACAAATGAGTTCGGGTGGAACCGAACATTTTATACTCTTGCAACTTTGCAAGAATCAAAGCTAGGGAAATATCTTAAGATATAAAACATCAACCCTGTCTCTTATACACATCTAGATGTGTATAAGAGACAGGGCGGATGCAATACAAATGAGTTCGGGTGGAACCGAACATTTTATACTCTTGCAACTTTGCAAGAATCAAAGCTAGGGAAATATCTTAAGATATAAAACATCAACCAGTGGATCGAAATCTAAGAAATTTAATATATATGCAYGTATAATCTATATAACTCATACACTGACCGACAAATTCAGTCAAATTATAGTTTTATACCTTAATAATCTTAATTTAGTGCATAAGTTAAAAATGTTCGGTTACACCTGAATTTATCCCTTCCCTACTTGTTCAAGTACCATGTTTTCAGATAAAGGTAGCGTTTGGCGTTTTTATTCGGAATGGAATCAAGTTTAAATCCTGATTTATGGTATATTACACTTTGGCATGAGGAATTCGGGATAAATTTCAGATAAATATTTGTATAAATATCTTAAAACACAAATAGCTATTTGCATAAAAAATCCCATTATTTAAAGTCCAACATTTAATGCGCATGGTGTTGATTGACGACCAGATGTTGCTGATGTTCTATTTTGTTTACATGATGCATACATGAAACCTGCTTTAGATATTCATTCTTTTGTATAATATATATTTTGTAGCAAGCTGCAATGGAGCAGATGATGAATTTTAAGAAAAAAAAAAAGCTTTCCTGTCCCATTAAACAAGGTCTCTCTACCACAAATTCTGACACCACCAGGCATCTGCTTTGGATATATGTAGGTCTACCAACAAGAACGACGTGATGTTAAAATTTAATAAAATACTCAAATTTGGTCAAAATAGTTTATGTTTGATATGATTATTCTATGCCATTTATGATTTGAACCAAATGTCTGCCAAATGGCCACTAAAGCTCTGTTTGCATATGTCATCCTGTTTACGCCAATTTCAGATTACCCGGTGCGCTATTTTGACTGGACTTTCGGCTACAGCGCGGTGAATGTTTTTTTTTCGAACTCAACGAGCGTTGCTGGTTGATGGCCGTAAACAATAATTTGACTCATTCCAATAGCGGCAAATGGGCTTTTTCTGATAAAATCGTATTTTACGCGAAAAGCTCTTTCARTAAACACTAGAGAACGCGTATTAATAATAACCTTGGACAATTCTCAAGCGTTTGTACCAAAGTGAAACATGACATGATAAAATGGCAAACCTCACTGAAAACACTTAAACAATTGAAGATAAATCCCTAAACATACATGGCCGGCTCGAAATGCCAAAACTACGTCGTTTCTAGAGGTAGACGCAGTATTACACATGTATAAAGTTTAAAATCGGACACAGGAAGATAATTCCGTAGCATATATAAGTAACTTCTCTATATGTAAAAAAGAGAGGAGTATGAAGTGTTTCCAGGTTACGTACAAATAAACATGATAAATAATAATATAATTATAATTAGAATAGAATATTGTTGAATTATGCCAAAAATTGGTATAAAATACATATTTCCATTGTTATCCATCGTTCTAAGCTAGTTATCGATTTAAGCCTGCATTGCCTACTTTTAGGCAACTTCTATGTAAACAAGCGATTTAGTAACAATGTAAATAATTCCACCACGATCACTAACATTCTATTGAACTCTTACTAAAATATTTTAATAATTATCTTCATTGGATTGAAATAGTCTCTCACAGGAGTTTACTTTGACAAAAGAAAAATTGTGTTAATATTTTACGATCTTTACATAAGAAATTATCAGTATTGGTGTGGGGTGGATATGGATAGTACGTGAATCAATACTAATTAAGTTTGTTAAAACAAGTTTGTTGACAAGTTTTATTATAGCTACTGAAGCAATGTATTAGTTGCTTTCTTTAATTATGATGTTCTGCTAATTTAACATTTATGTATGATTGTTGAAATATTACGACTGCTTATATTCTTTTGCGGTCTTCATCACTCTTGTATTTTAATTTGCGCTCATACAAGTCGCGGAGTTACAAAGCGACGTTGAAGACGAAACTAACATTTGTAAAACCATGCACGCATGCGCTAAACCTGCCCAAGCCTCAGCATTGATTCGCTGCAACAGCAGTGTGCTTCTGCCATTTTCACGTTCGTTACCTTTACTGTGAGCATTATATGTATCTTCAACAGCAATAGCGGCAACAAAACTACTGCTGCAACTTGTTGCTTGTAAATTTCTTCGGCAACTCTCATCTGGCAGTTGATTTAATCGCTCCTACAGCGTTGGAATGTGGGTCAGACTATATAAACCCAAGTTCAAGGCGATCGCTGTTTCAGACTAAAGAAATCGCTTACAGCGACTGCACGAAAGTACAATCACCGTAGAAAGCACTAAAACGAAATCAATGTGTAGATTGTGAAAAGTTAGCAAACTAGAAAGAATACTTTTGTTATAATCAAAGAAAATCGTACTGCATAGTATACACAGCTGTCGGCAATTTTCTAGCAATTTACAAGATTAACATCAGTGCAGTGAACAGATATCTTACAAACGTTAACGTTTATGCTAAAAGTATAAATATATTGGATAAATTATCCTAAATAGCAAATATTAAAGTGATTGAGTCAGCAGCAATTGAGTCCGCAGTTACGAGAAATAGTTAACTGCACAGTTCTGTAGAATACAAGCGAGTTGCGAAGGAGAAAATTACCAACTGGAATCAGGTGAGTTTTTATGATAGCGATACGCGAAATACTCGCGTGAATGTGTATGTTAGCACGTAGGCTTGCCTTTTGGGGAATACTTAAATATATAGTAAAATTAAACTATATGTATTATAAACATATAATGTAAAATCAGTGAATATCTGACTGAATATTTTTTAAGAACTTAGTACATTTCAGGGATTGGTCCATGATCATTTTCAGAGGACTTCAAGTTATTCTCAAATTTTGAATTCCCGCTAAATAATTGATGTTAACAGAAATAATAAACTTCAATAAATACCTATATAGCATATCTGCGAGCCATCTGCTAAGGCGGGAAGAAATTTACAAAAATATTAACAATTTAACCAAATAAAATTTAGCTATGGCGTTACATTTAAATGAACGAATCGATAAAGCCTATATTTTGCATTGAGCGACCTTTTAAAATTTCCAATATGTTTTGAGACATATATACATATAAATAACTAAAAAACTAGTAAGCGAAAAATCCCTGAAATATAATATTTTAAGTAAGAATTAGAAAKTTATTTATTTGCCTATCATAATAGACCTGAAAATGTTTAATTCAGCAAACTTAAAGTGTTTTAACCAATAAAACGGTATGAGAGAAAGAAGATACATATGTATGTATGTAAATTTCTTACGCATTTGAAATGGGATAGCGGACGGCGGTATTAACATTATACATATGAATGTACTTTCTAGCGAATTAGGACTAATTTACACCAACATATTGTGTACTCACGTTTTCGTGCTTGTTCGAGTTCACACACTCGAATATGCTTTGCAATGTAGGTCAAACACCAGTCATAACAGAACCTGAAGAATTAAATCGTTAATATATAAATAAAAAAAAAATGTTAGCAACAGCAAAGAACAATTGTGAAAAAATACAAACAAGTTAGCTGTTTGATATGGGAAAGCGAAACGAAGAAGTTGTCTTAAATATAACAATTACAATACAATTAAATTTATATGTACATAGATAAGTGCGAAAATGTCTAATCACCTAATACTTAAATTTCTCCCGAAGAGCACGCGCACTTAGTTTAAATCATGAAAACTGTTTTGAATTTTTTTAAGAGTTTTTTGGAAATGAACCAAAGCATTTAAATGAATTTATCGGAGCAAATGGAACGACATATAAGTGTGTATGTTTATACGCACAATAATCTGAGTCAAGTTCAAAGATAAATTAACTTAGTTTGGTTTTGTTTTTGAAATTATAAGGCTTTATTGTAATAATTGAACGATATCACCTTACAAATTTTATATATCGAAGCAGTTAACCAAAACAAATTCAGACACAAAATTTTACCTCAGTATATGTAAATATGTATATGCACATACCGTTTTTATATTGTTGTAGTTGTAGTGATTCCATCTGTTGATTGGCTGGCATTCGGCTTTTGCTTGAGTGGAGAAAGTTTTACTGTTGACTTGACACACTCTGCTTTTTGTTATGCTCAAAAGCGCTGTTCGTGTAGGTATATGTACATATTGTACATACCTGCATTTATATCGAATTAAGATATGTAATATACACTATATACTTTTTGTTTTATTTTACCTGTCAAACGTATAGGATAAATGCAACTGTTTCGAAATGATTATGTATGTATGTACATATGTGAACAGATATATGGAAAAATAATTTGTAAACAATGTTTATTAACTTCCATATTWTACAMAACATACATACGTATGTATAAGTACCTTACAAATTTTGAACTTCAAATACCAAAAGAAAACCGTTATATTTACATATGTACGCAGTTTAAAAAATAAATTATTTTTACCAAATATTCTAATGTGTTAAACAAAAATTAATAAGTTGGTAGTTTGAGGACAGTTGTCTATAAACCATGCATTTTTAGATACCTGACTAAACCGCATTGCATCACTCAAAGTAAAAGTAAACGATTTGGTTTCGTAATTGCGTTGTATTTATTTTTGAACCCACCCAAAGTGCATAGTTGTGCTCAATTTAACAAAAACGTGAGACGCAAACGAAATCCATCCCACACATTAATTACTATAGAAAAGAAATGATACTTTATGAACGCTTAAAAACGTATATGTATGTATATACATATACATATATTCCAAGTTCACAAAACCACTTCATAAGACCGCGGATTTTGTGAATTGTTGGTAACAAAAACAAAACAAAATTGTTATTGTATGTATATTGTCTTTTAAGGAAGGATATTTCACGATATATCAAACTAAAGTTATTTACGTGATTGAAATACTTGTACCCAAATCTAATGAAAATTCTACGCAAGTAGTCTAAAACCCAGTTCCATTTTCGCAATATTAATATTTGTGGAGGATGAGTCTTCTATATTCCTATATGCAAATTTAATAACCAACAACTAATTATTCCCTGGATCAATCAATAACCACTACATATATATATTAATGCATATGCCAATGATTTCTCTTTTTTTATGCGTTAGCCMGGCGAAAATGATTGAAAAAGAGACAAAAGTGACGCACAACACTTACGGTCAATCAACTTTTACTTTTTTCTCCGCCTTTTCTACTTACACTATTCTCCCTTTATCTGTTCATACATATAGCGTTTTTTTTTTTTTTTTTTGATTTTATGTGTGGACTGATGAAAGTGAAAAAGCAATCGTGTCTTCCATTTTCACCTTCGCTTGATCTCCACAAAAAATTAATGATACAAAAGTACATACATACATACATATGTAGGTACTTCAACTATATTAAATGTTAACAATTAACTTAAACGTCTTGCGACAATTTGACTTTCTCTGCCGGAGCTCCACTTATAAGCGCTAATTATTAATTAAATCGGGTACAAATGCTTCAAAATTGCAAACCACAAGAACGCAAATGACATATGTACATGCTTATACATACATGCATATACATATAGGTAATTTTTCCGTTACCAGGTGGCATATAGCGGTACAATCTTTTGTTGTCGCTTCGCAGGGTATATAGTAAGTCCATTATGTTTTTCTCGGTTTTGAGGTTGATTTTTTACATTTTCCAAATAGTACAATAGCATACATATGTACGTAAATCGTAGAAAGTATAGATTACTCAATTACGGTATTTATTGATTGGCACTGGCAATAAAAAATTCAACTTTCATAATTCACAAATTCTTCTTAATTTGCTTATGGCGATCGACGAACGTGCTAGCGCGCTTCTCATGGCAACTTATGCTTGCATGGCGAACAGCTACGGCAGTCTAAAACATGCGATTTGTGTCACTCGTTTSAATTATCGCAGTGCTAACAGAGGAATAGAACCAGAAAATCAAGCGGAAGCAGCAGAAACAACAACAATGTGGTCAAGTGCCGCTATTCGAAGCCAATTGTTACGATAGTTGAATTTCTCTTTTTAACTTGCAAGACTTACTTAGTAGCCAAAGCTCTACTACTATTATATTCACATACAATTGAACCTTTAAAGAAATGTATATGTATGTATATATAGAGAGTATGGTGGATATATTCAGTAGTCCGGGGTAAATTGAAAACATCTRTTGAGAAAAGCGCTAAGCACAGTTAATTGCAAATAAACGAACGTAAGATATAGACGTGTCTCAAACAGAAATCATCTCTTCAGTATACATACCATACGAAGAGATTGATTTGTGCCGTTATTTGAACTTTCTTTAAGTTTATTTTCTCGCATATATTAAGTTAGGTTGTTTTCTCATTAGGAAGAATGATTGTTTTATACAAAAACACAGTCCAATTGAAGTAAATTCATCTGAAGATCATAAGTTTGCATTTTCGTTTAGCACATAATCTCGATATAATAAGAATATTTTCCTAATATTCAAATTTTTTTTCCAATGATTTTAGAAAATGTAAGTACAAAAAGTCGAAATGCACAATTTCTTCGTGAACATGACAATTGCCACACACCTGTTAAATATCAAGAGGAGAGTAAAAAGCACATCGAAAACTGTATAAATATGGTTATAGTATCAATATCGTTTAGCAAAATGCAAATAAGAATATCATGTTGACATGCTCCTTGTTGATATTTTGAGATTGATCAATAGATTTTTGTGACATATTTTCTGAATTTTTGTTTCTCTACACAAAAGAGTATTAATACAAACCGTTTTCTTTCCAATTGCATTTGCTGCGTTTTTTTAAAKTAACCATTTCATTTTTCTCCCTACAGCATGCTTAACCAACGCAGGCTTTACTCTTACTTGCTACTTTTAATAGTTTCTACCAACTGCCTGCTACTTTCGTATGCTTATCCCCAAAATGAAGTTTACCAACGTAAGCTTTCTCAGGAAATGCAGCAGTCACCTGTTTATCAATCAACAGCTGAATCCACGGGCCGAAAATATGCGGTGAAACCCAATGCTTCAAAAAAAGTGGCGTTAGATGATGTCGAAGATGACGGCGATGTGGTCAACCAACTAAGCGAGACTCCTACTGGTTTTTCCTGGTCCAATATGTTGTCGACTGTTTTAACGATGTTCTTCAATGGAGCAGCTAACGCGCCGTCTAAGTCTGACGATATCGACAACTCTGTCGGTTTTGGTGGCTCACCATGGGCCAATGTAATATCAATGGGTGAGGGCAATATTGAAGAGGCAAAAATTGCTTTTTTTAAATTTACATTTGATTTCTCAACTATAAGGTCTAAAAATCATTAACACACTGTTAGGCGGCGGTGCTCCAAGCGACGGCATTGATAAGGTTGACAACGGCGGCTCACCAATGCAGGTAAGAAAAAGTTTTTCAAATTGAATCACATTTCGCATAGTAGAAACTTGAAGTGCACTTTATACAATCCCATAGCATTTGATCATATAGTGTAAATAATTCCTTAGATATAACTAAAAAGTACTGCTTTTACATGCTTTACCACTCAACAATGTAAGATACATATATAATATTATATAAGAAAAGAGTCTAACAAGGGCAATGGTTAGTTTATGATTTTCATATATTTATATTTTTAGGTGTATGTTTTATTTTACCAAACGGTTTATTTAAAATGTACATACAACATATTGTATGGATACATAGTAAAGTATGAAACTTCAAGATTCTGACAGAATTTTCGATTACATATACATATCTCATCTGTACATACAAGCAGATTCAATGGTTCACTTTAATCTTATTTAACGATAGTATTAAATATGCACAAATAATAGTTTTATATTTGAATTATACGTAAAACATAAAGAAAATCAAGCAAGAAAGTGCCAACTTCGGGTGTACCGATCCTTTACTCCTCTCGCAAGGCAAAAAAGATTTCGCCCATTTTATTCATTAAACTATAGAATATCCATATCCGTGAACATAGAACGCAATTGTAATACATGTATTACAACCATATGACCCGATAAYATATTGTATATCGTTGATTATTCTATTTTTGCGATATAAAATGAAACGAAAATTTAAAAATTCTTATTTACTAGCTTTCAACATAACCATTGTATATACGATTACCGGTATTTTGTGGACGTACCAGTGATCCGATATCGCCCATCTGCAATATCAACCTCTCGGGTCAAGGAACATGTGCACCAAGCCCCAAGCTCGCTACCACGAACGAACAAAAAATTCCGCAATTTAGCCCGTTCGTCATCGTGATCCTTTATATAAATATGTATTATATATAATAATAACTTTATATCTGTTTCTAGTTTAGATATTTTGTTGAGAGTGTAATTAGCACCATATTTCGCGATAGAAAAAAACTAGAAAAACGGAATATTTGAAGATGTGCTTGTACATGTACGCCCTTCTCTCTGTCTTTAATTAGTTCTCAAATTCAACTGCCTAAATTCATACTTACATATGTATGTACATATGTACCTACAGACCTATGTACGTATGCGTATTCTTAGAATCTGCTTTCATAAATATTTCTAATCCAAAAACCTATTCTTTTTGTTTTACCATTATTTTTGTTGTTCTTGTACAAAACAAATCGATACATAAAATATTGAAAACTATCTCAAACTGAATGGTGTGTGGAATTATTGGTTTTGTGTGGTTTCTCGCTTGCAACAGAACATCTTAGCTGCTGTGCTGTCATCAGTGCTTGGTACCAAAGATCCCGATCAAGTGAATTCGATGGCGAAACAAGCTGGAGAGGTAAAAGAATATTTTGATGAATTAGTAAATTATAAATTAAAAATAAACAAACTATTAAAAATATAATTGATGGAAAATAGTATGCAAACAATGTAATGCTTTTACCGATAGAAAATTAAGAAATGTTTACAATACACTTTTTACAACAATAGCAATATACATACTTGTAAACATTACACATATCACGTTTTAGTACTCACATGCAAAAAAAACCAACTAAAAACTCATAACTCTCCACTATAATTTACCTGTATACTTCAGTTACCTTTGCACACTTTGGCAAGCTGACACAGCTATTAGCACACGCACACATTTATAAATACATAAATATTTATCAATCTTCGTTTGCCTATATGTTCTTGAGTTGTTTAATGAAAAATAAACGTAATTTCTTTATTCTCTGTTTATATTATTGCTTCTCTATCTACTTTTGCATTTCGGCTCACTCAGTTCATTCAAATCGTGATGAATCTGCTAGATGCTCTGAAGACATCATTCTCCCATCGGTCGTTGTCCGCTCGCTCGATGGGAAAACGGGACTCGGTAAGTGACGCCACAGTCGCTGGTCTCTCTCTTCTGAAAGGTTACGTGCGTACTTACCGCAACGCGAACGACAAATGCATGCAACGCTATATGTGTGAAGCAAACTCCGAATGTGTTCGTGAAATTGGAGGCGCCAGCATCTTCTGCCAGCTGGGATCGTAAGTATTGCTGCTATTAGAAAACCGTGGTAAGTAATCAACGAATAAATTTAATTTTCAGTTATGCTACAAGCTACTTCCTGAATCGTACCAGCGATGGTAAGTTCGAACATTTATACGATGCGGGACGCAGGGGCCGCTCCGGATATGATTGTCATCAACTGTTTCTTGAGTGTAATGAAGTTTAAGGCCTGGAATAAATTGACTGGAATACACACGTCTATAATATAAACCATGCAAGTTATATTACTTGGCGCCCACAAGTATCCCGAACGATTAGTAATTAAGTTTAGGTTAAAACAATGTAATTTATTTATTTATTTATGAGCGAAAAGAAAAAAAGCTCGAAAGCAAGGCATGTTCTAATTTAGGCTAGTAAAATTTAAACAAAACAAAAATTGGAATTACTGTAAGTTGCAGTAGTACATGGTCTGAAGTATTGYTTACGGAGTTTTCTCTATAATAATGACGCCATACAAAATTATTCTGGTATTCTCTTCTATTAAATATACAAGTATTTCGAGTATATTGTATGTACATATATATATATACATATGTGTATATGCATATTGAGAYTACGGTGGGTATATAACTTGGTTAGGTCAGTTAAGGACAGTTGCTTCAGATATAACCAGTAAGTAAGTGCTTCCCAGAGAAGAAGTCAAACAATTTAGAAACCATTTATTTAACTAACAATAATTTGACACAATATCTCTCAAGCACAGAGTGCGAATTTGAAAATACGCCAACAGATAACGTCCTTAACAAATGCTTTTTTGTTGCAGATAGAAGAACTAAATACATATGTATGTATRTGTATAATARTAGTAAGATCGWGATTTAAAACGGTCCATTTGTATGGTAGCTATGGGTAATAGTGTTCCGATCGGAAAAATTTGTTCGAAAATTGTAGCGTTACCTTGGAAAATATTCTAAAATAAAAAATGTGTCTATCAAGAGCTTTGTTWCGTCAGTGGTATGGAAACTACATATGTATATGCTCAAATTATCTGATATCTGTCATTTTGAGTCTGATATCAATGAGTTTCTTGGAGAGAAACAGACACATGCAAAATTGAGTAAATAGATATCTAGAAAACTAAGGGTCTAGTTCGCGTACAGACAGATGGACACCCCTAAATGTATACTTATGAATGCGATGAAAACAATTTATTATTAGCAGTGGAAAACAATTTCGAAAATTTAGATTAACTGCCGATTYGCAAAGCGATTGACCTGGGATATCAAACGATGATGGTGTGTCTGCGGGCTTGGACAAATATGCCAATTTCGCCCTTTTCATTTTAATAGTTTTAATATATCGTTAATGCAAGAAATAAAATATGTACCATATATCAAAAAAAATTACAGCAAAATTCATTTCAACAAASATTTTTAATTTGTATTGACTATATTAGGGTTAACAAACAAACAGGAGGGACCATATTCATAAAATCGGATCTRAGCCGAATAGTTTTATTTTGACTGATCGATTTATTATTCTTTGTGTACAAAAAAAAAATTTATTGCTAATATTAAAAAACGAATTGTCTTTGATTTCCCCACACTGGAGCATAGGCCCTCAACAAGGTGTCGCCATCTCACACTCATTTAGGGTTGGTTGATTTAGAGAATAATAAGAATCTAAAAAATCCAACCAAATGGAAATGAAATTGGCAATTGGCATGCACATGTGTTTCCTTGGGATAGTCAGAAAAGTAAACGCTGATGAATATTTGAAACATTTGAAACGGACATGCGCGCGAAAGAAATGCTTTGACATATGAAATGTAAAAATGAATAACGAAACGTAGTAAAAAATAAGAAATAAAACCAGTCAGGAAGGGCTAATTTCGGGTGCAACGGAACATTTCATACTTTTGCTAGAATCAAAGCCAAGGAAATACCTCAAAATGTAAACCGTCACCCAGAGAATCGMAATCTAAGCGATATATATACATACTTACACTCTATATAACTCATATACTGACCGATAAAATCGGCATACGATTTGTTAGAAAAACGAAAGTCGTCGTATGTAGTATGAGGGAGTTGGGGTAGTCCCGACCCTCCACATACTAAAAACAACATTCCCTGAGTTTCATTAAGGTACCTCACATGCAATCACCAATCATATGGAGTAAATTCAGCCGGATATACGAAAATCCTGCAAATTGTTATATGGGGGTAGGTCAAGTTTTCGCCCAATTKTATCTATTTTAGGTACAAAGATATAATGAAATGTTAAGACACGTTTTGTAATTTTCATTGAGATAACTCAAATATTGGCCGATATATGAACCATAAAGTCACTTGGAAGTTCGAAAATTTCAGAAAACTATTGACCCGATTCAACCCATTTTTGAGACACCGAATTACTATTATCAGGAAAGGATTCTCTCTGAATTTCAATTGCATACCTCACACATTGSTCGATATTTTCGGRCAAAAGTCAACTATAGATACTGGTTTTTACATATTCGGTACCTAAGGCTTGAACAGTTCTGATGGAATTACAGTTTTGTATCTTAATTTTGTGCTTAGTTATGGCACTYTATTGGTTTTCGGTTAATGGCGATTTGTAGGCATTTACGCCCATCTACGAAGTCGTAATTTGTTTTGTACTAAGAAACCCGCATACCACATTTCAGTTACAGCTTGTATGGACCGACAGTCACCCAGATTTCAACTTTTCTCGAAATCCTAATCATTTATATATATAAAACCCTGTATCTTCCTCGCTTAGTTTTAGATGATACGTACAACCTTTAGGKGAGCAAAACTATAATACTCTTTATCAACAGGTTACAAGAGTATAAAAATATCTGACAAATGGAGCAAAATGGCATCACTGCATCCTTACATCGCTAATAGGAACTTCATTTGTTCAGCATCAGCGAAAAAGCTCTTACACTGAGACATCTGATGCGGCTTCAATAGTGACTATTTATCCTAGCTTAACAAACAATACAATTGTGATTTAAGTTTTTAAAATGGCACCTCTATACTGATATTGATAGTTGCTGAGATGAGATTAAAGCAAGATGAGGAAGAAAAGCTCCAAAATGTGTAAAAAAATTGTGGTTAAATGTGTTTTCATTTTCTTGCTATGAGCGTACACACAAATCCAACAGACATACATATGTTGGCAACAAAAAGCCATTTACCTTTATTATCCTCTCAGACAGACTACCGGTTGTGATTTTGTGCATATTGGAAAAACGATCGTTCAAACATAAAGGGATGGTGAAAATATTACCTTTTTTGGAGTCCCATAAGAGCATATTTAAAAATTATTGGCGGTATTTGTTCGTCTGGCTGTTAGTTGGTATACCTCTGTACTGTTAAAGCTCTCTTTAAAATTTTAAGGTCTAGTAAATTATGAATGCAACTAGCAATATGTTGTTTTTTTTTCACTCAGTGACACATATCGCGTAAGTAAAAATTTAGAAAACCAAATATATTCACATTCGAGTTACGAGCAATTTGAATAAATAGAATTGTGATCAAAACTAACTGGTTAATATTCGAAATAATTTCGCAATATTCGTATACAGTTAATTATTTTGAATCACAGTATATCAAATTCCAGCAACATTAAATGCGAACTAACGATTAGTATAATAGAAAATGCAGTAAATATATGCACCAACGATTTACACTAATAGATTTATTTTTATTTACCATAGCCGTTAATAATCATCATAAAATACACAGCGCGAATATATCTCAAGGGAAACACAAAGAGAGTCCTGCAATTGTGGTCTACAAGTTTACAAAAATCTCAGCTGTAATCATAGAAAAAATACAGAGACTAAGAAATATGAAGAACACGGATAACRTACAAGCAGAGAATGACATTAATAATAACTGCAATGGCACAAGCCATCATAAAAWTATCAAGAATATGAATTTATGCATTATAACATGGAAATATTYATTAGCAATTTTGTGTTTCGTACTAGTGGAAACGAGTAAGTAATCTGATAAACTACTTCATCAAAATTAAAAATTTTCAAAATAAATTATACTACATTCACRTCATACTTTCCATAATTCTCGTAAGCTGATTTTATTGCACTAAATAACTAAGCCTCAAGCAATGAAGGCATCAAAACAGAACTTTGTAATATGCATACTAAGATAAAAACTGATAATGAATCGGAAAATCGATCATTTGACTTCTGATAATTTCTCTTAGCTTTTTCTTTCATCATCTACACACAAGACCGGACTATCAACAGTTAATACAGTAACACATATGCAAACCATTATTATTTGAAAAAGTATTTAATTTAATTACAATATTTAAATATTCGAATATTCATTGGTCTCTCAGATTCAACGTGGGCTAAATCACAGGACGCAGTGATACCTTTAACGGAAATGTCGATGACCATAACACCTGTTGTAGATTCATTGTCCACAACTACGAAAACTGCTTTATCACAAAATCCAATGACAACTCCGTCAATATTAGCTACGGAATACACATTGACTCCAATAACCAAATTTTTAGTGAAAACTGTTTATGGAATGACATCTTCAACACCACCTGTATCCCAGCAATCAATTCCRATTTCATTACCTTCAACGGTATCATCGAAACAGACTTCATCTTTACCTGACGACCTCTCAAAAGGTTTTTCTATTCCCACACTTATACCACCATTGTCGCCATTTGCTATAGACCAATTGACAAAGTATTCACCCCCCACTCCTTCCATAAAACCACTAACATCGAGCATGTCTACGAAATCCGAGGAACAACTTTATGCCGCCGCCTACCAACAGAACAGACGCCGCCYAAACTTTTCTCTGGCAACAAAAAACATTACCGTTCAATTGGGAAATCACGCCTATTTATCATGCAACGTAAGTGGTTAAAAGTTATTACTTATTTGCTGTTCATTATTTTGACAATTTTTGGTATTTTTTAACGCTAATTAAAAGGTCGGTTGTAAAGTTCATTTTTTCGCAATTTTGTCCTTCAAACGCTTCAACAAGTCATTTAAAGATTTTCTTCTTTTGAAGATAGTYGATGAATATTATACCACATCTATCCGAAAATAATCGTGACATAACCTTTCCAACCGACTTTTGCGTCTTTTTACGTTTCGGATCGGTTCATAATTTGATGTCCACTCGGCTGACTGTTGATTGGGCTCCGGTGTGAAATATTATAATTGAACCATGTGTCATTCACTGTCGCATAACAATKCAAAARTTCGGATTTATTACGATTAAATAATTTCACACAATCTTCAGAATCAGCAATTCTTTGTTATTTCTGTCCGTAATTATATTGGCGACTTTTTAGATATTTTCTCCGGTAACAGCCTCTTTAGAGCCTCCACTGACTTCATCGTACTCGGTATTCATTTCGTCTTGTTGCTTTCCTTTGGTGCGGAGTCTACTTGTTAATTAGCAAAACTTCAAGACAATGCTCTTGAGTAAGTCGTTTTAGCTAATATACCGCATAGAAAATGAAGCTCCATTCACTCTTTGCRCAAAAGCCTACTACTTTGTGTATTTTAATAAGATATCTTTAAAAACACATGAAAAAGTTTCATCAGAATGCATAATAATTTTCATTCATCAACAGATTCAGCGCGTTTTGAATAAGCCAATTTCATGGCTGCGCCTTCGCGATGGACATATTCTATCTGTCGACCAAGCAACTTTCATCTCCGATCAGCGCTTTCAATCTATTTTTCAAGACCGGAGCGATAACACTTGGTCACTACAAATCAAATACGTACAGAAAAGCGATGAAGGCTGGTATGAATGCCAAGTGCCCACCGAACCGAAAATGAGCGCTAAAATCCATTTAGGAGTGGTGGGTAAGTAGAGACTATCTGGATTTATAGTTACTCTAGCTAAGTAAACCTTCTTTATGGTAAGTGTCAGATGCAATCCACTACATTACATTGCATACGAATTTCAACGGAACCAGCTGGGATGATTAGAGAAATGAGAAATGTTTTTATAAAATGTTTAGAAAATCTATTTTAGAATTTTAAATAGTTTTACATACATAGTCACTTGAATGTCGGCAAGTTTTTTGAATATACACCTTAAATTTTGCGATGGATCATTGCATTGTTCTCACAATTTCAATAGTTTGCGACATTAAATGAGTACCACTAGTARTTTATGGAATTACTCACAACCTTATATCAACAAAATTTATATAATCTTTACATTGTGTATATACATATATATTATATTTAATTATTACTTTTATTCCACTAGTACCCCACACTGAACTTATTGGTGATCGGAATCGTTTCGTGAAGGCGGGCAGCAGAGTGGCATTGCATTGTATTGTTCGTGATACGCTGGACCCACCAGCGTACATTATCTGGTTTCGCGGCAAAACACAAATCACAAATGACAATGAAATGGGTTGGTACACCGAAATCGATCGWACGATATTCGGTAATGCTGACAGCAGTAGTAATACGGTAAGTATAAAGTGTTTTCATAACGAAATTACAATATATTTTTTTGACTTATACATCAAAGATCGGTTCGTTAATAATACCATGCGTTCGGAAGCTGGATTCGGACACCTACACTTGTGAGCCATCGAACAGTGATTCCGTTTCCGTCGACCTTCATGTGCTTAGCGGTAAGAGTTAAGAACTACATAGCTTAAGTATTGAATGCACATATCAATATTTAGCGTTCATCTAATTCACAAATAAAATCATYTACTTTTTATTATTATCATTCAAAGTTTCTTTAATTAATTTATCCCTTGCAGGAGAGTATTCTGCATCGGCCATAATGTCAGTGGCTGGCTCCCATCGGCTTAGTAAGTCCGTTTTCACTTGCCATTTATCTTTTCTGCTGCTTCTGCAGGCCATGGGAAAAACGTGACTGAATTCCAATTCGTCACACGTTACCAAAGAGCATTTCCTTCCCCTTCGATTACTCCCTTTAACATGTCAAGMGCCATTTTTGAAAGAATAAAATATACACTTAAGTTAAGTAAATAATTTTATTTACAASAGCAATCATTAATACCAAAGTATTGTAATTATTATTGTATTAAAATAAAATTTCAAATCGTTAAAAGCAAGAGGGGGGACAAAGTTGTGAAACTTCAATAAGTAGGTTATTGCTCAACTAATTAAATTTAAGATATTGAAACACTAAGTAGCAGTTGTATAACTTGTAATACTATACATGCTTTATGCAGTGAATAAGTGAACACTAAGTCTGCAGTGAAAGTCGAAGAAAAAAATTGTAATATGTATATTTTAAAATATTCTAGCTGAATGCACTCCCAATGAAATTCACAAACTCGTTGGAAATKGAAACTATAACTTAAAATTACATAAAATAAATGATAACATTAATATTCAATTAAAGTTGTCTCTTCTTCAGTCTACTCTTAACCAATTTCCACGTTTTTAAATCATGTCAGTCATATTCATTCTAATGGCGTAMGCAATGCAATGAAGTGATTCAAAGGTAAGGGTAGATTTTCATTTACTCAGCGTTTCTTAGCATGCACAACAACGTGATAAACTTTTAATGAGCTTGTTTTTAACAGATGGTTTTACCATAAGGTCTCTTATATAAAAAAATTATTGAACTTTTCTAAACTTCCAGTGATCTTGTACGCAAGCTTTCAAAATGGTATTAAGATATAATTCAAAGTATACTTACTGTTGTCAAATTCAAATATACGCACCAAGTGATCACGAGTTTATCAAATGCTAAAAGCCCTTGTATTAACCTGTTTAAAATATTTTTAAACTCCAATCAAAATATATGTATATTTAAATTCTTTACCGTAACTAATATTTAACTGACAATTGAGTGAACATCATTGTAAGAGCAGAAATCGATCATCAGCTTCAACCAGCTTCAAYATGCTTAACGATTATAATATTCCATGCTCAGATTTTAAATTTTAATACGAAAAACTTTAWTGAACAAGCCATGACAAACTTTTAAACAGTTGTGAAGGTGTAAGTGATATTCCACGTTTTGTCACAAGTAAAATAAAAAAAAACAAGTAAGGAAGGGCTAAGTTCGGATGTCACCGAACATTTTATACTCTCGCATGACAAKTTTTATCAAGATATCGCAATTTTTACTTAAGTTACAGCTTGCACGGACGGATAGACAGACGTCCGGATTTCAACTCTACTCGTCACCCTGATCAATTTGGTATATGTAACTCTAAATCTGACTCTTTAAGTTTTAGGACTTACAAACAACCGTTATGTGAACAAAACTATAATACTCTCCTTAGCAACTTTGTTGTGAGAGTATAAAAAACAAATTTTAGCAACAATCGCAGATCATCTCTAAGCTATGTATATTACCGATATATGCGAGCGTCTTTCGATGAAAGGTGGAATAATCGCTAGGGCACATAGTAAAAAAAGGTATTTCAAAACAAAGAACAAACACTTCATTTAAGAAGGAATTTATTCGGAAAAGTTTTAGATAATATATGTATATTCAGTTTCTGAGTACATGGTTTTAATGTTTTAATCAAAATGTAGTATTATAATTTATGTATCATTGTACTATTTCTAAATCTTTTACACTCTTCTCTATTAAATCAATTTTATTTGTGATCATACGTTTATCTTAATATTTAAATACTAAACGACTAGTTATTATACTTCTAAAGAATTTTAAGATAAACGTCTATTGATTCGAAATAAATATCACTGCACGCAACTTCGCACTTCGGATTTACATTTTCGAGTAACTAATAACTAAATCACGACATTTACATATTATTTTTAAGATCAGCATACACAATATAATTGCGAAAGTGTGTCACTGTGAAGAACACACCAAACATATTGAGTTACATATAACAGTTGCCAAATTAGTGGTTTGAGCACCAGATGTCAAATTGGAAWACCACAATCTTACTTGTTAATATCCAATTTTGTTTTTCTTTTTTTATCGCCACATCATTCATGCTAATAGTATCCATTTACAAATTCGGGTGTAACCGAACATTTTATACTCTTGCAGTTTACGTGGTCAGAAAGGGGGAAAATATTTATTAGTTTTATGAATTTGACTCAAACACTAACCGACATATTCGACATAAATGTGCCAAAATAACGAATATGTGGGAGCTGGGGCAATTCGTTGAATAATTTCACAAATTTTTGAAACACACAATAATACATATATTCGATAACTTACATATTCTCCAATATTGACGGTTTAATGTTAACCGGAAGTTTTAAAATCTTTATAATAAGTATATGAGAACTAGATCACATTGCTATTGGGAATAGGTTGACTTGAAAAGTTATTGTCCGATTATTATTTTTTGACGTGAGATGTCATCATATGTACACAAAACTGGTCACGTAATTTTCCAATTAGACAGCGTATTTAGTTAGTAAGTTGTCGTTAGTAGTTTTCCAAATAAAGTTATGAGGAGTAGGCGTGATTATCTCATTTCACTTATCCATTTGCACAGTGTATGAAAATGAGCTAAAGAAAGTAGCCCTCAACAAGTTTGGCTGATATCTATTTTGGTCGGAACATCAGACCATGGCTGCCCCTAACTACATGCCTGTATTTTGTAGCGTAGCAGGGATCAGATCTGATCCGTCTAGAATACAAACTCTCTTCATTAAGATATCTCAATTTTCCCCAAGTTATCGCTTACACGAACAGACGGACGTCCACACAGATAGTCACCCGAATGTTAACTCAGCTGGTTATCCTGATCGTTTATATTATATATTACAACTCTAAATCCCAATTAGTTGTTGGTCTTACAAACAATCGTTAGATGAACAAAACTTGTATGCAATTTTTTCCCAAAGACGGTAAACCCTTTATCGAAATTAGAAATATAACTTGCGACTTTATGAAAACGGGTTAAAAAGGCTGTGCMAATTTTACATTATGCAGAGAAGAATCAGAGACTACAAATATTTAAAAAAAAAAAATTATTTTTAAGTACTATGATTGTAAGATAAAGCTTTTCCAGTTTTCATGAGCAATCAAGTTTTGTTTGAAATATTTTGAAACCCTTATAATTTTATGATTTTTTTTGATAAAAACAAGTATTTTATAAATTAAMGTGCGTTTTAAATTGCAAAGCTAGTAAGACTGTTACTTTTTCTTTTTAATATGGACAAACTTCTAGACACAACGCCATGAATTGGATGGGAAACTACAATGAAGTAATCAAGATTAAATATGAACTCGTAATGCAAATGATTGTGAAAAATAATCACGCCTATCGCAATTAAAAATAATCTTATATTAGGTAAATTTATATGCAAAAGTAAATAGAGGCTTTCATAAAAAGTTACACCTTCTACATCTTTCATGTATTTACATATTTCATATTCGTTAAGAATTTGCTCACTAGCTTAATAATTAATCGTTGCTTTAATGAAAAGCTGCGTTCGAGTTAAACGTAAAATATCTATGAATTCATTAATACCAAAATAAACTTAAGCATTCGTATTTACATAAATAAGTACACCCATATTTATGATGGGAATATATTAAGCAATGAGCTACGAATATCTACTTATTAAATATAAATATTCGTTGCGACTATTTCGTTCGATGTAAGCTCAGGAGTTTATGCTAAGCATTAGAATCTATGCTGAGTTAGAACTAGATCGTGTGAACACACTAGCAATTCCTTTTTCACATATACATATGAAGTTTTATGCACGAGTAAAGAGACGCAATTTTTGAAGGTGATTAGTTGGCCCGGGGTTATTTACTATACTTTTCTATTTTCATTTTATATGATTTTTTATATCTTATTTAGATAGTCCAGACCTGAACTTTTTCAGCAACTACACACCAACTAGAACGTTCATAGTATGAGGAGACTATATGTAGACTAGCTACATGGTGGTTGATTAATGCATCAAGCTCTCCCTCGCGAAAAACATGATAATAACGGTGGTGTGTTGTCGATCCTCCTTGAGAAGGACTTTCAAGCGAACCGGCAGAGCTATTAGAATTGCCCCATGATTCTGTTGATTGTCGATTTTGGAGAGATTTTTCGGTTTCTTTGCTTTCATGTTGAACTTTAATTTCGAAATAGCCTTCCTTCTCAGCTGCCACTTCCAATCCTATAGTATCACATCTGGGAGCCCTTTCTATGGCTTTAGGATATACTTGGAACTCATCTTTGGGTTGATACTGAGTTTCTTGACCAATCGAGTGATGATGTTTAGACAAGTGACCAAGCTCATTTTCTTCTTCTTCATCAAAGATATCACCTTCGTCTTGCAACAGATAAGCGGTTTCTGGATTCAAATTGTATGGGCGATTACGTTTATAATTAATTTTGGATATTTTACAGTTTTCATAGAGTTGCAGAGAGTAACTTCGTTCATCACTTTCTTCTTCGTTTTCCTCATGAATTGTAAAACTACGTGTCTGTGAAGATARAGACGATGTAGAAGAAGTTGGCGATTGTTGTAAGCTTGGCTGCGTAGACAGATTAGCGAGCATTAAACGTCGTTCTCGAAGTTCCTCACGAATTGCTGACAAATCTCGCAACTCATTGCTGCGCTTCCTATTTACATTAATGTGTGCATCTGAAGGATCCCCATATTCGCTCGTAATTTCTAAACTTACGCATTCATCAACATCGTTTTTGTCGTCAATTTTTCGCATCAACTGTATATTGAGCTGTTCAGCAAACCCAACAAAACCTTGTTCCTTCCTTTGTAGTGAATTCGTGCTTAGGTTAATGTTCCCTTTGTTSGGTGGTATAGGACAACTGTCCTCTTCATTTAGAAATATGTTGTGTGGAATATCGTTATTGGTCTTCAGTTGCTCATCATGATATTGTTGTTTTTTTGTCTTAATAGTACGCTCAAAAAGTAAACCATCGTTCCCATCTTGTTCAAAAGTAGGTGACGATTTCATATTTTCACTTTGCTCTATGGTCGTTGTCGTAGAATTCGATTTTCCAGTACTAATAACACTATCAATTGAGTTTGGAGTGGATGCCTCGCTCGAATCGCTATCTAGATCGTCAGTAGCCGGATTGAAAAGTTCTAGAGACATTAGTTTTGGCATATTTGGTATAGATGAACTAGATGTTGCAGATGACCGTCGTATGATTGGAAAACTTTGACGTATTGGTTGTAAGGATTGTTTACGAAATTTAGGTATAGGAGGTAAGTTCTTTATAATATTCCGTGTTATTTTACATTCCATATCTTCCTGCTGATGTTGAGCTGTATCCCTTTCGTGTTGTTTGATAAGATCCTCATCAAAATCGAATCGATCCTTAATATTCTTCATATTAATTTTGGAAAATGCTATTGAATTTTCATCTAAGCTTCCATTTTTATTGTCTGAAGGTGGAGTAAGCATTGCCATAGCTGCCGTCACAGTTGCAACTGTCCTTGGAGGCGATGTTATTACAGCTTGTGTAGTAGCAGGAGAGTGCGCTGGCGTTGGAGGACATGCCAAAATCATAGGTGAAGTGGGTACAGAGGACAATCTTTGATGGTGCGGCTGTTGCAGATGCTTTAGACATGTTAAACAGTTCGCGGTATTGTCATTGTTTTGAAKTTTACACGTGTCATTTTGGTGTTGGCAACAACTACCGTAAGTGCGACATCCCCCTCCACCGTTACTGGACGACGAATTACTTGAACTTGAATTTGAGCTTTGGTGATAGTTAAGTTGCTGTTGTTGCTGTTCTGGCTTCGGTATGAAAATAACTGAAGCAAAACTATCTTCAGACTCGATACTTGTATCCGACTGTAAGCTGCTGTCCTTAGAAGAATCTGAACCGGACTCTTTAGAGTGTCGACGTGACTCCCCATCCCTATTTTCAAAACCATCGTTAGTAGTGCAAAATGTATTACAACCCACATAGTGGTATGTACTGCAATAACAGCCCGAGTTAGAACACTCAGCATTGTTGCAATATGTGACTGGACCAGCGTATTTGTTGACTACACTACCGACCGACAATTGTTTTTGATAATGTGATGCCTGTGAACCTGTTTCGTGGGTGTTTATGAAGGTACGTGATTGACATTGGTAATTTTGGAGATTTAAAGATTGCTGCTGCTGAGCATACTGATAATGATGATGATGGTGATATTTATTGCATTTTGGAACGTTTGACTGTGACTGTTCGGCACTGTTTTCTTGACTCTCGCTGACTACTTTTTCCATCAGATCGGAATTAATTGTGCTTGGTGATATATAAGACGAAAAGTTCTGTACTAATTTGTTTAATCCAGTTTTTGTGACCCKCTCAAAGCTGCCTGTTGAAGTTTTCACTTTCTTGGTGAAGTTCTCTCTGATGATATGAAATTTTTTAGAAAGCGTAGTTGATTGACAGAGAAAGGCTTCATTTAACGACGTCTGTTTTTGAATGCGTTTCCGAACTCCCTCTTTTTCACGCAATCGGTTTACGGCCATAAGTTCCTCATTCAATGAACTTTGTTTGCGTAAAAAGATACTTGCTTGCATCATTTGACGTGCGGTAAGGGGAGATTGATGGTGCAAATTATCCATAAGRGGCATTTTTCCTACAGTTTGAGAGTTAATGTTAATATTATTACCGTTGAAGTAGCAGCGATTACGTAAATACAAACTATTACTGGCACTATGATTATTATATGTACTTTTTATATGAAAAGAATTTTCTGGCAGTTGGCATTCTTCATCACAAAAAGATTGTTTTTGTTTTATCAACTTTGGACGTCGACCTAGTGGAGTGCTGTTATTTATATTTTTCAAAATTACTGCATTCATGGATTTTGTGGGAGATACATTGGTTTTGGTGGCAATAACTGGTGCTACACTTAAATCCTTGGAATGAAAATGTTGACTATTTTGCATTGAATAGGTTGATACAGGTATTCCAGATTTGTTACTCATATCCAAATGAAATAGAGTACCGCCCAAGCTAGGTACACTGGATCGCGAACGCACAATTTGGCGAGGAGGTGGATTAAGAATGCTACCAAGGCTACGAGATTTCAATCCTGCAGAAAGTGGAGGATCGTAAAAATCTTCGAAGTCTTCAAGTCGGCGAAGTTCGATTGGTAAGTCTTTAACGTCTTCGAAGTCAAGACTACTATCATTTTTGGTTTCTTTTGATGCCCACGAGTCCAAAAACCAAGGATGCTTGCGACCAGCAGCAAGTTTCTGAAAATAATGACAATTTTTTTTACTTTTTATTCTCACTATTACTACGTTTATACTTCTTCTACTCGGTTATATTTTACAGGGGTAAGTTCAACTCACATGCATATATACTATTTCACCATGAGTTAAATGGTCTACTCATATAAAAATTTACACATTTTCTTTACATTGGTAGACGTGTTAASTCCAGTGCATAAACGGCTTTAGGTTAAGTTGAACGTCAAGTCAGGTTATTTTAGAAACTGATTTAAGCAAGGCTCCCGTTTTGCTAATTTTTTCCAAAAATATATAACTATTTACCCTTGTAGAGTGTAACCGATTAGAGTAGAATATGCTTCAAGGTTAATGTACGGTTATGAACCTTACTTGAATAGCACGTCGAACAAAACTGTAGCAGGATTCACCAGGAGATGATGAGGATAAACTTGAGCTATCGCCATCACCAGCTGAGCGACTTGAGTTTGTTGAGTCCTCCGTGTAAGCATGGTAAGGTGGTAAGAAGCTTTCATCATCCTCTTCGTCCGAACAGCTCATATTTCGAATTTTGGGAGGCTGCCATGGAATGAGAACATCTTGTGACTCAAAACGACGGTGTCTCTGTTCAAGTGCCCATACCGTTATAATAACACGGCCACCAATGCGTAATACACGTGCCAGCTCTCGGAGAGCGTTTACTCGACGCTCAGTGGTAGCAAAATGATGAACAACAGCCAACGAAAGAACTGCATCAAATGAATTATCTCTAAATGGTAGCTCYAAATTATCGCACATTATAACCTTAAATAAATTATAATGTTACATCAAAAGTGCTTGTCTCTACAAAAGAAATACAAACCTCTCCTCCCTTTTCTCGTGCCACTTTGCTCAATCGATAACAACGATCCACTCCAACTGTACAAATAGAACGATTTCCATGAGCAAGATAACGACCATTACCGCAGCCGACATCACACACCACGGCACCAGRATCTAAATTATTTAGAAATTGTGCTATTCGTGGTCGAATAGCGCCGGATGGTTCATCACAATTCTCATAGACGTCATGAACGTAGGCACGTTCCAGCGCTGCTGAACGACCATTAGTATCATCCACTGTCTTTTTTGAAGAAGCTTCATCATTTCCTGAATTGATTGAGGYCAAGCTGCTTGCAGCTTGTGACTTTGGTAGTAAAGTTAAATAATTACTGTTACTTTTTTGCGGTGCTTTTGCAGTATTACAAATATCCGCCTCAGTGCCAGTCGAATCGGTTTTACCCCGTAGTGTTGTATCATTATTAGCCAGTGGGGCCAAAGGGGCTAAAACAAAGTTACTGGCGTTTCGATCACCATTTGTTGTAGGAGAACTGGTAGATAGTTGCTTCGTCATCGATACTCTTTGAAATGTATATGTGTTTGCCTCCAAAGAATTTGCAAAGTCAGTACGAAAAATGTCATCTGCAAGTTTATCATTATATCGTTAAGAATACTATTTTTTCAAGATCATAAACTGTATTTTTACCATCTAGATTAGAATGAATACCGGCGAAAACATCATTTGCAGCTATACTCGAGTTGTTCGTGMTTGAAGCAATGGCTAAACAGCTGGTGAGCATGTAGAAAAATTTTATGTACTTTCATTTAACTCATTCTGCGAAGCAAAACGCCTAATTGCTTGTTCATAAAACTCCGATACATACGTTCATATATACTATACACACTTTTATTATTTTATAAGCAATTCGGGATTGGGAAATGTCCGCCTTATTTCTGTACAATATGCCAATATTATATTTATTAAAAATTTCGCAGCAGTAAGTATATATGTACGTATAAGTACCATATATAATTGTCGAATAAAACCGAAAAGCATATGTAAATGTGGTGTTGTTTGTGAAAGGTTAGTTTCGTTAAGTTGATATAAACAACAGCAGCAGCACAAGAAATGCTCTCTAAAATAATGCAGGCATGCGCTTTTAACTGTTGACATTCTGTCAATTAGTCGACGACAGCTCACCGCCTCTTTCCAAAAGTAATTTTTTGAATTTTTATGAATGAAAGCTTTGTTTATAAACACTTGTATAAATTAAAAGTGCATCATAATTTAGGGCTCCACATTGGGGTCGTTGTGCTAATTTCTTTGACCTACCTTTTGGGGTGCATATTCAGATTAATACACAGTAACAATTATATTTGAATTGGATTTGGTTTATTAGTGTGCATATATTGGTTGAAAAATAGCATTTCTCATGTCTGTAAAATAATACTTGATTATTGTTCATGTTTGTAACAAATCCAGATTTTGATAATACTAAAAAGAAGCATGTATAACTTTCACCCAAGCCAAATATTGGTGATTTATTCATTTTTAAATTCATTACAATTTTGCATTTCACAGTTCTTGCAATTCGTATGGATATACCAAATATAACCCAATAGAAAAACGTTCTCTGATTGGTATAATCTTAATGTTCTTCTATTTAGTTGGATTTAGTGTAGGGATTTTTAGTTGTGAAATAGAAAATTATGCCTAGTTTGATGCTTTACTGTGGGCATGCATTTATGCTTGCGTGACAACTTAACGAACCGCGAAACACAGAACTACATACAATATCAGAGAGTGACTAATATGTGTAAGGACACACACCACACTCTACGGGAGAGGGAGAGAAAATATTTCACGAGGATAATGGAATAAAGCTTTTGAAAACGCGAATTTAATGGCAATGATTTTTCACAATTTTCTAAAACTAAATTAATATGTCTTATGCAGTTATTACTAATTAATTAAATTTCTGTAAATTAATTGTTCACTATTTCACAGTTATATTTAATATCGAATAAATAAATCAAACACGTGCAATTATCATAACGTTGATTTAAGTAACTAATCTCAACAAATAGTTGCAAACAATTTATTTATTATTTCTCCAATTCTTGGTTCAAAAATATTCAATTCACATCATTTAACCGTACTTTGTTTTTTATTAWTTGAGTTCTGAGTGTATTTATAATTTATACTATATGCATCGATAGTCGTCGACCGAAAACTTTTACCTACGCGAATTTGTAATTGAATCTTAATTGTTCGGGAAAGCATTCAAAACTGAACTCGACGAAGTTTGTCGAATAACAGTAACCACAAATGAGCTGAGATGAACGGGAGTTACCAGACAAAATGAATTATAATTTATATAAAGCGTATGTGAGGAGGCTATTTGGAGCGAAACCAACTCAACGAATGTCAAAATCTTTCGTTAAGAAGCTTTCTCAAGATACTGTCTTGTGGGCAGTTTTCCAATTTTTTAGCGTATTTACGCAAAAAGTAATTTTATTCTTTATTTTGCTATAAACAATACTAAATAATTGACAATAATGATACATGAAATTAACTATGTTCTTTAGAGATAAAAATGTTTTATCTTTCGAGAGAAATTGGTTGTGTGAAAACGAACATTTTGTGTTTAATAAGAATTTCTTATAATTGATATATTATCCCCAAATCAAATTATTGACTTCAATAAATTTAGCGGCAAATACGTTTSTAAATATAGATTTTTGAGCAAAAAGTAAGTTTTGGGAAATAAATTTCGACGAATTTTAAACTGTGCTCAGCGTAATTGTCAAAGTATGGGTATTGCATGGACATTGCAGTATCAGATTTAACAACTGGCTGAAGCCCAAGATGGCAGATTTCACTCATAAACTTTTCACTTATGTTAAGAATTAAAAAAAAATTATTAATACAAACATCAAATACGAGTTTCAAAATTTTCACAGAATTTCTAATATTTAACAAAATTTAAATATAATTCTTATACAGAGCGGTTTGATAATATTCCCCAAACACCTATGTACACATATGATACATTGAGGTGCTGAGTTCGTCAGAAGTTGAGATCGTTATTTGTAGAGTGGCTATACAAACGAGATGTTAACTTGAAAAACAAGGGAAGATCATTTTGGATGCATCCTACTTTTTGGTACTGTATTGATTTTATWATTATTTTCGAAGTATTCCGTGGATTTTGTTGATAATTTCATTCATAATTCAATGGTGGGTACAATAAAAGTTTATTAACAATAGATTATTCAAACGTTCACGGTAATATATCCGCAACAAGACAATACACTTTATAAGCAGATTATCTTGTTAAACAAAAATTAATTTYCTTGTCATATCATACATCAATATCTCCTTTTCTTATGTTGGGTAAATATCTACAATCTGAACTAAGGATACTCGTAATTACGTAGGAGAGCAAAACTTTCAATTTAATTTGATTAATTCTTATGGTAAATTACAAATTTTTGATATGAATGACGTAACAAAGAGACTAAGTGGAGCGGAATATAAGTCGCAAAAATTAAAGACCAATGATGGTACAACAGCAATAACCATATGTGTAAAGCTTATGTTATGAGGCCGGTGGAGGTTGGAATTTCAAACTTTATTTAGAGAAAATGTAATAATCATTCGTTTATATATTTTTTGAATACCTTAGAACATTATCATGCTGTTAAAAAAATTCTGTTTTAAGTTTTTGGTATATAATTGGCAGGACTATACGTATTWTACTTCACGCTTCAAACTAATCCAGTTAGATAAAAAGTTACTTATGTTACATAAATATACCAAAATATTCATATGTTCATATACACATGTATGTATATTAGGTTGACAACTATCTCCCTTGCGCCTTTCGCGGCTATGTATAAAGCGCTACAGTGATCGTATACGGCAATACTATACATCTTTGAAAGGTCTTGACATAACCTACAAAACGACGCTATGCATGATTAGTTTGGATATTGCGTTCAACAGTTATAGACGTGTAAACATGGAGATCACTAACTCCGAAATTTGCGCTATTTTTAAGTTCGTTAAAGGCAAATCCGCTAGAGAAACGTTCCRTGAGGATTGTCGTTTTGGGGGATGGTACGTGATAGAGAACTGCGGAGGAATGGTATCTACGATTCAGAGCGGKTGAAAACGACACCATGGATAAGCCAGCCGGCGGAAGACCTATGATGACGAATACCGATCAAATCATGGCAAACATCGTGACATCGCCCAGAAGATGGGAGCTAATCACCAAACCATTTTAAAACATCTGCAGARGGCTGGATACATAAAAAAGCTTGATGTTTGGGTGCCGCATGATTTGACGCCAAAAAAATTCTGGACCGAATCAATGCCTGCGATATGCTGCTAAAAYGCAATGAACACGATCAATTTTTGAAGCGGATGGTGACTGGCTGCGAAAAATGGATATTGTCGTATCAAGTGAAAACGGTCGTGATCGAAAGACGGTGAGTCGTCCCAAAGAGTGGCCAATCCGGGATTGACGGCTAGGAATGTTTTGCTGTGTGATTGGTGGGATTGGAAGGGAATCATCCACTATGAACAACTGGACCGCTGGAAGCAAGCGATTAACCAGAAGCGTCCAGAATTGGCCAACAGGAAGGGTTCGCATTCACCATATAGCCCGGACATAGCGCCAAGTGATTACCACCTGTTCCTGYCCATGGCGAACGCTATTATTGGTGKAAASTGTAATTTAAAAGAGGCTCGTGAAAAGTGACTATCCGAGYTCYTCGCAAATAWGGWGGATGCCTTCTACGAGGGGGGATTATGAAGTTGCCGTCTAGACAAAAACAKACTATCGAACGAAACGGCRCATATTTGAACTGTAACACTTTTTATATAGCATTGAATAAAGAACAAAAAAGGGAACGAAGATATTTGACYAGCTTATAAAAATGCTTTATCTATCTCGAGTTTAAGTGTTACAAACAACCCTTAGGTGAAAAAACTACACTTTATGACAACCTGTTGCAAGAGTACAAAACTACGTACACCAGTATAATTCATTTCTTTTTAATAATGTATATAGTATGTTTCGAAAATTTCAATTTAATAAATATATATATATCAGATATATATTTATATATATATATATATATAAATAATAAAAAGGACAGTCTTTAAAAGACAATGAATGACTAGTTACAAATAAATGGACTCAAACTGTATATTTAAGTTAATATGATTGCATGGAGCTTTTTTCTGTCTAAAACCGAGTTATTTTACTGCTCTCGGGTGAACCGGGCAGAGAAGAGCACTCTGAACGTGTAGGACTGCCCCTCTGTGGTCGTGGCGGTTGCCGTTGTGGGTTGAYATTGGCATTAGCCTGGCGTAAGTTTGCGAAAAATTGTTGTCTGCGCGGACCACCGCCGCGTAATGGAAGTGTTGGGATTTCACTTGGTGACTGAGCTATATCCACTTGCGAACAACTTCGCATAGCTGGGTTAACACACTCGTAAACGCTCTATGAAATAAGTAGATTATGTAATTGTTTAAGTAATAATACAGAGTAATGATCAATTACCTGTTCTGAAGAGTACTGATTATTTTGCGCAAAAGCTAGTGAAGTGAGCGAAGGCAATGCTTGAGCAATATCCGAACGTTCAATGCCGCGTACTATAAGAAATGTTCGCGGTATAAGCACACCTATCAAAATAGCCCAACCTGTGGCTTGTAGACCTAGAGATATTGCTGCATCTCGCATCTCATCGCCTAAGAGTGACATTCCAATCCAAACGATCCAAATTGCGAAAGTCAGCACAGCACCAATAACAATGAGAATACCTTCGCGATAATTTCGTTGTGAGCGATAGATAAAAGGAACCAAGCCCACAATGCCCATAAGCAACATGAAATCATATCCAACTAAAACCCATAACCAATGACCATAGTACATATTTTCGCATGATATACTCTCCGTTGCGACATGCATAATGACTAATAATTGAACTGACATACCCAACTGTACGAGTACACTGAAAATACAGATAACAGCCTGAATATAGCCATTGACATGAGACAAAAAACCGCCCTCTGAACCTATCGATGCGAGCATAACAGCCCGACAAAGTAATAGTGAAAAAGTCAAGCAATAGGCGAAAGTCATAATAAAAACTCGTACAGCGCAAAGCGTGTTTAGTGTGGCGGCATCTTCAAAAGTCACGTGGGAGTTTTTATGTTCACCGATATACTCCAAAGAGAAAGGTACAAAAGATGTGAATAACAAAATCATAGAGAGCAACAATAAGATCGATGTAACGGGATTGCCTTCGAATACATCACCCAATGATATTCGAACAACAATAAATACTAATATKGCCAAGGTAATTATTAGACCAAGAATAGCGGCAGTCATTCCCGTGGCTACCCATGCATCAGGCTTAATTCTCCAAAACMTCACTGACTCTCCATCAAATAAAAATGGATATCGCCTATTCTCTCCCGCGCTGTACTGACAGTTAAAAACCTGACCAAATTTAGGTTTTAACTCTATGCTACTGCTATTGGCATGATTGTAATGATAAAACGTAGTTATGTTAGTAATAAAGTTTTGTGAAGCAATCTCTTGAAGATCTGCATTATCTTGACTAGTCGTTACCCTTTCGTTAGGGTTTTTGTTACGTTTTTGAAACATTTTAAAGTTCATAAACGAAGTAAATCGTTGCATGTGTAATAATTCCAAAACTTTAACAGGTTCGTAATATTGACGATTCTCAGGTGTTTGCCARTCACCAATAAAATTTAGGAAGTTTAAGCAAGACTCAAGTACAAAAATGTTTTGCTCCCGCTTGCAGTTACGCATTAATGATCCCTTTAGCCAACGGACGATTTCCAGCATGGGCCGAGCGAAAGCAAAAACCCTTGACGGTTGAATCAAATTATCCCTCAAAGTCTCTTCTGTTGCAGGCATTGTGGAATTTTCCTCAATTTTACCAGGATCTACTTCGCTTTCCATAAGTATATACGACTTATCTGGGAGATCTTAAATTAAATAATAATGGATGTACTCATAGATGTATATATTTTTTCTAATTTTTACTACACACACCTGTTAGAAAAGTACGATCTGTGCGATCAGTGGATATTGCAAAAAGTGTGCTATTATCTTCAAATTGCCTCGTCAACTTGTTTCCAAAGAGAATGTAAATATTATTGTCGCTCTTGAAATGCATAAGACACATGTGCTCGTGGCGCACAGCCTCAATAAACTCATTATAAGTGTCTAAATTTTCAGTAACAATTTCTACAGAAGCTATACTTCCCGCCCAAGGCATTTGGTGTAACAGATGTGCCACTTTTGGCAGTACATACATACGAGGTGGAAGTATTGGCCAAATGTTGTACTCTAGATCTTTGATAAATTGCTCGGAATTCTTATACAAATCGTAATCGACAAAGATACCAATAGCATGAGCAATGCATTGCTGAAGATATTGTACCTCTTGCATAAGTAAGTTTTCAGCAACAGATTCA